AGATTCTCTGTCAAGCGTTTCAGAAAAGCCCAAGTATGTAGTTGAGCCTTTGCCTATACGTGACTTAATCTTTATGCTCAATTTCAATCCTGCCGACTTGGATTACACGTTATAGTGTCCCGTAGTCGAACGTCTTACTAATTCACTTATGATGCACGGGCGTAATAACGGCAAAAAACTCATGGCTGTTCGAATAGTGAAGCATGCATTCGAGATTATACATTTACTTACCGATCAAAACCCCATCCAAGTGTTGGTGGATGCTATCATTAATACTGGACCTCGAGAAGATTCGACCCGTATCGGTAGTGCTGGTACTGTAAGACGGCAAGCAGTTGATGTGTCTCCTTTGCGTCGTGTCAACCAAGCGATAGCACTTTTGACCATCGGGGTGAGGCTTCATTTTTTGAGAATCTTTTGTCTAAGATTTGTATTTATGATAGCGTTTTGTATGATTCTTATAATAGACTCGTGAATCCGCTTTCCGAAATGTCAAAAGTATTGCTGAATGTTTAGCCGATGAACTCATCAACGCTGCTAGTAAGTTAGCACATCTTATCGTTTCAGATTAAAGAGCCAATAATTAATATAGTTTCAAATAATCGAATAGAGGGAAGTTCAAATTCATATGCTATCAAAAAGAAGGACGAACTTGGTAAGAATAAATTTTTCATTATCTGTAATCAACTGACATGACATTTATATTTTATTCAAATCATGTTTTTGTTAGAACGAGTCGCTAAATCCAACCGGTAGATGGTAATATATTTAATGGTTGATGCTTATTAAATATAAAATTACGTTTAAGATGGCACTTCTTATTGTATGGTTAAATTAAAAATATTCAATCTTAATAAATTGTTTGAAATATTTATTGAATGTTTTCTTACTCTTCGCGATGTAGCTTCTTCTTTGTTGTTCCATTCGAGAGCAGCTTCTTTATAACCAATAGAGGAGGTATTAAATGCATAAAGATTAAGTCACGTATAGGCAAAGGCTCAACTACATACTTGGGCTTTTCTGAAACGCTTGACAGAGAATCT